TCAAAATGCTCCTTCTACCAAAAGTCCTGTGTGTGGCTATTCAGTTGCAAGGAATAAATCTCTTGAGTCCTGTCCCTATATTCCAGGAAGAGAAATTGAGTCATTTAGTCCTTTGAGTATCCTCTCCTCCTAACCTACTCAGTGAGGAGGACTTCCAGGAATTTGACCAGGTTTGTGTTTCCCCAGGATATATTTACTCTACTTTTAATGGCTGATCACAAAGAGATGCCACAACTCCTTTGGCCTGAGTGTTCTGCATAACCAGAGCGGTGTTTAAAAGCCACGGAGAAGCTCAGGCACCCATATGAGAAAGCAAGGACTTTGCCCAGAAGCAAACCTCCCATAGGCAGGTGCTGCTGCCCAGTTCCCAAGGGTGCTGCACTGGGTAGGTGGGCGTCCTCTAAGCGGTGACCAGCCAGATTCCAACTGGCGGGCTTTTCTTTCATATTCATTTAGAAAGTGGGCTTCTTGTTGGAAGGGGGCTCTCAGAGCAGTGATTACTTTGAATTCATAGATAACTGGTCTTTGTCTTCTCCCCTGACCCTCTGTGTGTAGAAGAGGGACCGTGTTGATCCTCTGAGTGAGTCTCATCTGATCGGTGGGTTGGAGGGTACTTGAGAGCCTGGTAGGGAGATCCAGGAACCTCTCTCTCTCTCTGTGTCACTCTCTTTCTCCTTTGGATCCTGGGCAAGGAACCCAGGGCTTCACACATGCGTAGGAGGGGGCCGCTCTCCCAGCCAGAAGCACCTCTTTTCGCCCCTCTCTGACTCTGTGGGAGGAACAGCCTGTACTCCACCGAGCACTTCAATGGAGCGTTGCTGAGTCCAAGACTCCAGACAGACGTACTAGAAGCAGTTAATAACGGGTTGGGATATGAGACCAGAAGTAGTCTGCTCTTCAGGAGATGTGTAGGCATCCTATATGCAGGATGGTCAGGAAATGGAAGTGGTGGTCAGCAGACATAGCTAAAAGAACTGTCACGGTCCCCTCTGGGGCTCCTCGTCCTTTTGGGCTGTGTGTTCTGCTCTTCACTTTCCCTCTCTGTGCGCCGTGCTGTTCTGTGCCGGGTCTAAGTTTTACATTGTGTTCGCTCTTAATTTGGCCTGCGTTCCGTGGTGGACAGTCTTTCTAGGAGGGGAAAGCCAGCTCTGAGTTGTCATGCGTGCCACTTCCTAGGGTGTAAATGCTGCCACTGCAGCGGACCTCCAGCTGCCAGTGTGCTGTGCTGTGACTGAAGGTGGAGTTGGGGAGAGCCGCGGGTGGCCTCTGTGAGCTGCCTGGAGCCTTCTTCAGGAGGGGACAGCTGGCGTCCTCGCTCTGTGTGGAGAGGTTACTCTTTCCCTTTGTACCGCCCCTTCGCTGGCCTGGCCGCCCAGAGGCCGCTTCCTCAGGGCCTTTTCTTTTTTTAAAATCTCTGTTTCTGTGGTGCTTTGGATAAGGCAGCCAGTCTCTGTGCTCCACCTTGGCTTGCGCCATCTGCTTCGTTCAGTGATTAAGAGGGACTCATCGCACACTCCGATTTTAAAGTTGGTGAAATGGGGAAACTTCATTGTGGATACTTGGATTAAAGATTTCCTGCACATAACTATGAAATAGTCCTTATCTCCACCCGGAGCTGCTCACAGATACTTGTTAATAATTTCATTTTTGTTATCTTCTTGTGGGATGCAGTGTCATGTATTTGAATCACTTGTTTTCCTTTTCTGTTCGCTTTCTTCCTTTTCTTTTTCTTTTTGACGTTGTATGTGTTTTGAACAGCTCTTTCCCTTTTCACACTGTGACGTGTCTGAGGAGGGAAGTCGCTGTTTTTCTATTTCATATGTCCAGGTGTTTTTAATCAGTCACTTGTTGAAGGAACAGTGAAAACGAGGCATGTCAGTTTTCGGTCATGTAATCACAAGAGGTCATGCCTGAAAGACATTTGGAATAATCCAAGTTAAAGTGAGAGTTGAGCCCAGTGATGGTGTGAGTCCTGTAAGGAAAACGTGGCAGAACCTGGGACTAAGTCTTGGATCCCGTCCACAAATCGGAGCAAAGGAAGCAGGGCAGAGGGATAAAGAGGTTTCGTGTTGAAGTGCTTCATGTAAAGTTTCATGTTTTGCTTAGTTGATGTCTTTCCAAATGTGAGAGCCCTAGTCAAAGTGGGTAGAGGTCCATGGTCCACGACGCGTCATAACATACTCCTAACACCACCAGGACTGCTGTTGGGCAGCTGTAGTGTGCTATGGCCATCGTGGATGACAGCACTAGGGGGGAGTGGAAAAATAAGTCCTACTGCGAGGCAATTCAGGATGATGTGAGTGTATTGTTATAGCCAGGCGTTTGCAGAGTATGTCCATGCTCTAAAAACCACCAGAAGTTACTGCTTTAAATCAATAGGTAGTAGTCCATTACCATGTCAGCAACTGGAGCCCACAAATAAAATAAGAAACCGCTCTTGCTACTAACTAAAGAGAGAAAGGCCATCTCCGAGAAGTGACTGGAGAATAGCAATTAACAAGATGCGGATCTGTGACCCCAAATTAAGGCAGCACATAATAGAAGTAGGTTCTTTAAGAACAAATTTAAGCTTGATAAAGAAGAAAGGGGCTTTTTAGTGAAGAGGGAAAGCACAGAATAAGAATTGTGTATGTGGAGAAGAATGTGAGACATGGGGGAAATTTGTGTTATAAAAGGTAATATGGGGCTGGGGATACAGCTGGCTTGTTAGAGTGCTTGCCTTGCAGGCACAAGTCCCTGGGGTCAATCCCCAGTACCACAAAAAAAAAAAAGGTAAATATATTCCTAGGGGATAGTTGAATTCCAGGATTATTTATGAGTTCATTGCCCAAATGCCATAATGAAAATGGTTTTATAAAATCAGTTTTTTCAAAAGTATATAAGTAACGTTAGTATCTTTAATATTTTTTCAGGTTAATAAACAGAGTAAAGGATCACCTCTTCTCTGTATTCCTGACCCTTATTTGAGGGTAACTGCTAATATGTTTCTTCAACATTCTTATGGAAATATTTCACTATATATACACATATTTTATCAATATGGCTCATTTATATTCTGCAGTCTGCTTTGTTTTCACTAAACGTATCTTAGAGGTCTTTCTGTATTGTCATATTGATTTATCTTATTTTTCACTCTATGTACCAGTACCAAAAAATTTTTTTTAAAAAATGCACCTCAGGGTGTCTCCCTGCCATTAAGTGTCGCACAACTCCGTGAGGAAGCCTGTCATGTCTCTCTCCTCCCGTCCTCCACCCGCCTTTGCACAGACCTTTATGTATCGTTGTCAGTGGGGAAAAATACAGAAGATCACTGTTTTCCGGGCCTCTGGGTCTCCCTTGCTTTGCATGGGACTGTGTGCCACAGCTGTCCTTAACGTCCATCATGACAACTCATCAAAGTCTGTGATGGCCCCTTTATTGTCTGTGCTTCTCTTGTGCCACCCCGGGTACCTGAATGCTAGGCTGAGAGCAGCCAGGGGAACCTCTGCCCAGTAACTATCATTGATTGGTGTTCCCAGGCTGAACCGCACCCTTGCATCTGTTGAAGTGATCGCCAGAGGTGCCATCCGTCCTGACGGCCGTGTGTCAGTCTGTCCAGGTCTCAGCTTTCCTTTATCCCTTCTTTTCCTCTGACAGGCCTGGGATGTTACTAGGTGGTAAAGCACTTACCTAGTATATGTGGTGAGACCCTGGTTCAATTCTTAGCACCACAAACACCAAACAAAACAAATAAACAAGACCTTTGATGAATGATGAGTAGATCTGTGACGTGTAAGTCCTTACCTCTAGGTCCCACTCCAGCCTTCCGCTCCTTGGGCTTAGTGTCAGTAAAGCAATTATAGAACAGTTTGGAAGCAAAGGCCATGACCTTGGATCCCATGAATGTCACTCCTCCCTTGGCTTCCTGAAGTTTGGGGGTACTAGAGGGTCCGTCTCTCCTGGAGTCTGAGAGTCTTTGAATAGTGGGATCCCTCCTTCTGATGATATTTGTGTCGAGGGCCCATCATTCACCAGTAACCATCCCCCAGAATGATCAGATGAACCTCTCTATTTAAGGATGTTATTTTGAAATGAAAACTTGTAATAACGATAGATTGAATTATTTCATTTTCTAGGTAAGACATCAATGGAGACAATGTTTATTGGAATATTTCACATTTTCCATCTTCCCCAATGTTGAATTTGTGAAATTATTAACTTTAAAAACTAAACTCCTACTTTTAATGCCTTCGTTTTCTTTCTGCACCACCCTCTGGATTTCTTTGTCTCATGTATATAGATTTCTAGGAATCTCAAGCCTTAGGAATTTTAAACTAGAATCTCATCAGTTTGATGTCTACCAAAGGTGTTGGTTCAGAGGAAAAAGGGCTGTGCTGTCCCTCACGTGGCCTCATTTTCTGCATGGTCTGTTTCCTGAAAGGTCGTATCATACAAAGAGGACGTGGAGTCTGTGATTGAAAGAAGGGAAAAACTTAGCAAGTTTTGTAGACACTCATGGATGGTTGTTCATCTCCCACCCATCTTCCCTCCTGTGGAATAGGGTACCACTCCTAGCCAGTGTTACAGGATGGGCTACCATCTATGGTCTGTAAAATCCCTGCCTCCTGGAACTTGTGGGTCCTGTACACATTGTCCCCTACGAGCACGTTGGTAGAACAGCAGAAGGCCCACTGTCAGGAAACCTGACTTCCGGCTAGGCCACAGCAGATGAGGGAAGAAATACTCCAGGGTTGCAAACACTGGTTAGAGAGAAGACCCTTGATTTGTTCGTAGAGGCAGTGGTGCCCTATTCCATCAGTACCTACCTTGAGAAACGAGGGCAACCTCGTGGAGGTAAGTTTAGACCCATTGTGAAGACTGACCATGGAAGTCGTCCCCTCTGGTGCTATTACACTTCCGTGGGTGTTGGTCTGTAAAAGAGGGTAAGCGAAGGGCAGAGAGCCTCCATCTGGGATCAGGGACAGGCAGAAGAAACAGGTGCTTCTTTCTTTCTGTTTTAGAAGTTCACCTGGACCCCCACCGAACGTGGTGTCCTGTTGCAGACTGTCAGACAGTGTGCCCCGTTGCAGCAAGTGACCCGGGACAGCCGGTGCCGGTGGAATGCCCTTCCTGCCACCTGAAATTCTGTTCATGTTGCAAGGACGCGTGGCACGCCGGGGTCTCCTGCAGGGACAGCCAGCCCATCGTCCTGCCAACTGAGCACGGGTAAGGAAGGGACTGTCTGAGATTATCCAGGGGTGTTCTCGGACACCCAATATGGGTTCCTGGGAGCAGGGGTGACCATAATGGCATTCAGAGGCTTGTTATCTTCTTATACAACATCCCTGAGCAGTGTGTCAGAGTTGGTAAATCGGTAACATAGCATAATGACCAAAGCATTCCTAAAAGGGATTTTAGTTACTTGACCCAAAAGAATCTTCCAGATATGGTGAGACTAGAGCTTGTGTGAATTTAGCTTTCTCTTGGGTAGAGAGGCTCCATGCTCCAGGGTTCTCAGTAGAAGGTGTGACTTGTCCACAGCCATCTGCTTGGGTGCCACATCTGCCTGCTCGTTGGGGTAGCTTGTTCTTTCTGTGTGCAGAATGAGACAGATTATTTTCTGACCTGATGAAATCGCCAGCTCCTGAGGTGTGCCCATCAGAGCAGAGAGAGCCCAGCAGTACAGTACCAGTCCTGAATTCTTGGGAAATGTAGGAAGAGAGCTTCTCCTAGCACTTTATTCTCTGAAAAGATGGAGCCGAGATGAAGATTTTGTTATGACAAGAAGCTGTGAAATCAGCACCTTTTCGTTTGGAAGGTTCTTTGTGGCAGCAGCAGGATCCTGAGTGAGAGACCTTTATGTTGGATCCTTGCTTGGCTTGAGGCTGTGGCTGCTCTGCATTGGCAAGAACAAAATGCCAGTGTTCTGGGCCGGTTGGCATCGCCACCCCGTGCCCTCCAAGCGTGCAGACCAGTCTTCAGGAAGGGTAATGCTGCCTGGAGGTGCAGACGAGGGGAAAACAGACCTACACACACAGCAGGCATCAGCTCCTTAACCAGATTCAGGGCCCTGGCCTCACAGGCACCGTGAAGAGCTACAGGAGAGGATGCCTGAGTTCTGACAGTGTCACTTGGCATCTGAGTGTCCTTACACAGACACTCTTCCTGAGTCTCTTTCTCCACTAGCAAAACAGGTATGAAAATAGAAACTGTCCCCCACACCCCTCTGTAAGGCTCTTGCAGATACCAAATCTGGTCATAGAGTGAGTGGGCAGCACTCTGTGACCGAGATGCCCCTGGGCAGGGAGGTGGTCTTGAAAAACAAGAGCCAAAATGTAACCTGGAGCTCTGGCCCCTCCCTCCCACCAGTTGGTCCCACTTCTTGTTTTCTGTGCCCCTTAGGCTGTGAGCCTGTACTGGCCTACTCATCTAATATCTTACGGTACTGATTATTGAACCCCACTCCTCCATTTATCCAATGAGCAGATCACTAGATGGACAACGCACGCCCCATTTGGACCCTGAGCCAGTTTCTCTCTGCTGTAGCTCACTCCTCCAATTTATTATTCAGTGCGCTCAGGAAATGAAATATTAATTTGACAAAGCAATGAGTTAAATCAGCTGTGGAAAGTGTAATTACATAATTGACCGAAAGCCAAAGTAAATATTCTTTCTTATTTTGAGTTATCTGAACAACTAATAACCTGTTTCTCCTATTTTTATCCCCATCATTTTTGTTTTGTTTTGTTTTGTTTTGTTTTTGAAAGTGGATTTTAGGCACAGGTAACTGAGAGCTGGAAATCAGTCGATGGCATCAGTTGAATTCAGCTTTCCCTCTATTTTGTTTCCAGGGCCCTCTTTGGGACAGATGCAGAAGCCCCCATTAAGCAGTGCCCAGTGTGCCGAGTTTATATCGAACGCAATGAAGGCTGTGCCCAGATGATGTGCAAGAACTGCAAGCACACGTTTTGCTGGTACTGCCTGCAGAACCTGGACGTAAGTTTCCATCTGAAGAGGCCAGTGTGGTCTTCCCTACACTGTATCTGCGCCACAGCATCTGTCCACAGCTGCTCCTTTAAAAGGTCGAATTTGAGCCTATGTTGTCCTGAAAAAGGCCTTTATTTTTCTTAATGAGACTTCCTAGCCTGCCACATTGTTTTTCTTCTTCTTTCTTTTTTTATTTTTTTGGCTGTGCTGGGGATCAAACCCAGGCCCTTGAGCTATACCGGCCACTCCCCTCCTACCTGAGATTATTGTAAACCCTTCTTTAGCTACGTAGCTTTAAAAAAAAAAAAAAAAAAAAAGCTTCTGTTTTAGTGGCATTTCTTTCATGCTTTCTGACCATTTTCTCACTCTAGTTTGTGGGGGCCTATTAGTGTATTAGTTTTGTATTGCTGTTGTAACAGATAATCACAAATCATCATGAATTCAGTGGCTCAGGACAACACAAGTGCATTATTTTGTATTTCTGTACATTAGAAGTCCAACTCAGATCTTATTGGGTTATAATCAAAGTCACAGAGGAGAATCGTTTCCTTTCACTTTCTACCTTCTAGAGGATGCCTACATTGCAAGGTTGATGACCCCCTTTCTCCATCTTCAAAGCCAGTAACAGCACATCTCTCTGCTCCTCATTCCATAGTTGCTGTGCCTTCTGACCACAGCTGGGCGATTCTCTGCCTTTAAAGACCTATGTGATTAGATTGGGCTCATTTGTATTATTCTGGATCGTCTCCTCCACCTCAAGGTCCTTGATTCAATCACACTTGCCAAGGCCCGTTAGCCATTTACGATAACATATTCACAGATTCTATGGCTTGGGCTAGGGATGTCCTTGGGGACACTTGTTCTGTCTACTGTAATTAGATTATTTTCCTCTGTTTGAATTTAAGGAAAACAAGAGTCCAGATCAGTGACACCTCTTAAGGAGCTCTTGTTCAGCAGCACAGCAGCAGTATTGGTTGTGTTTTGTCCCTGTTCCTTTCTGGCTCTGGGGACTTGCCATTCATGTGGCCTGTCTTCTCAGCTCCAGCTGCAGTGCCTTCAGCCTTGTGCCAAGGTGCCTGGTCACCTCAGAGTTGAAAATCTTACTCTGATTCCAGTCTTTCAGAGTCGGGGCAGCATAGAATGTCTGTAGATTTTCCCTCCGTGGGCAGTTTGGACCTATAATATGAGACCAAATCAGTACACGCCCTCCATCATGGCTGGGTGGCCATTCTTTCTCAGCTCTCGGTTTTGGTGCTTGGTTTGCTTTAATTCAACCGGCAATTTCTCTCCGTGAGTGAGAGTGCAGGTGATCTCTCCGTGAGTGAGAGTGCAGGTGAGAGGGCCGCAGTGTGGCTGGGTTCAGTCCCCAAGGCAGCTGGGCCCAGGAGACTCTCTTCAGGAGCCGAGACTCTCAGGAACTAAATGTGTGCTCCGGATCTCCGTCCCGAGGCCGAGAGACTCTGTGGGATGTTGTGGAGAACACTGTGTTCTGTCACGATGCCGCTGGTCCTCCTCGAGATGAAATGGGACAGATGTGAAATGGCTGAGCACACAGATTTTAAGTGTTGAAGCATCTTTTTTGTCTCTGTGTTCTGAGATCCATTTGCTCTGTTTTGGCCCAAGGCATTGGCTTGTCAGTGACTGTTTTCTCCAGGCAACTCTTCTGGGTCACATGACGGTGTTGATGTCTGTGTGTGTGAAGGTTGAGAGCCTGGGGCCGGGAGAAGGGGCCCTGGGTCTGTCTGCCCCAGAGATTTTGAGTGAACTAGGGCAGGCACTGAGTTTGTTCCTGCCTTGACCTTCATCCCTGCAGTTTCAGAGGCTGAAATGTTATTTTTTTGGGGGGTGGGGGTGTTGCTCCAGGGCTTGAACTCAGGGGCATTGACCACTGAGCCACCTTCCCAGCCCTACTTTGTATTTTATTTGGAGACAGAGTCTCACTGAGTTGTTTAGTGCCTCGCTGCCGCTGAGGCTGGCTTTGAACTCACGCTCCTCCTGCCTCAGCCTTTCCAGCCGCTGAGATTGCAGGCGTTTGGCATGGCGCCCAGCTGAAATGATAACAGTCTGCTTGGGAATCCTGTTCCCATGGGTGGCCTCGGAGACAACCCCCTTTGGTTATCTCTCCTCTATGCTGGGGCTTGAACTTCCTCTCTCTGCTCCTTCCATGTCCACCCGTGCCACCCTGCGCCATGTCAAAACCAGCCTTTCCTCTAGCCTGCCCTCGGCTTCTCTCCAGCCTGGTCGCCCCTTGCTGCTGGCCTTACTCACCCCAGGCAGGGCAGCGTGCAGGGCAGTGTGCTCACATTGTGTTCTTTCCAGGGTTCTGAGTGACTGCTTCTTGGTAGAGCCCAGTGGAGACTTCAGATTGCACGTTCAATACTAGGCCGCCTCCGCTGCAGCTACCATCCCCACTGGCTCCCTCCTCCTCTTCTGGCTGAGTCCTGGTCCCCTTCCAGGCTCTTCCTTGATCCACTGTTCCGAGTGTGATGGGCAGCGTCTTGCTGTCAGCGGTGCTGTCCCTGGGCACGCTCATTCACATCCGTGATTCCTTCCACCCCATGCACTCGGATGCCCAGGTCCCCCTGCCCAAGCCAGATCTCTGGACTGAGCTGCCCTTTGGACAGTACTGCCCAGATGTCTCCCCTGTCTGCAGGTTCAGCATCACGTGCAAACCATGATCATCGTCCTTCCCCCAGAGCATCTCTGCGTTGTCACATTTCATGTCTTCTTCAACCCCTGCTCTGTGGCTGAGTCTCCTGCTGCTCCCTCTAGTTGAAACCTCTTCTCATATGGCCTTCTCCAGGGCATTTCCCTCTCCACCTCTGCTAATGCTCTCGATGACCTTCCTAAGGTCATTGATCAATTCATCCCACTTTTTTCGTAGAGCCAATCAAGAGTCTCATTGACTAGGATCTCTTTTCACTGGGTGATTTATAAAACTACCTCGATGAGTGAAAGATGGCAGGCTGGGAGTTCCTAGAGGAGGGTCTTCGTGTCACCCGGTGACTGGTGTGGTTTCTGTCCTCCTCTCTCTCAATTTGAACTGCGTGTTCCTGAAACCCTCCCTTTGTTTTCCAGAATGACATTTTCCTCAGACACTATGACAAAGGACCATGCAGGAATAAGCTGGGCCACTCGAGAGCCTCAGTGATGTGGAACCGCACACAGGTAGTCTGACCTTGGAAGGATGTGACAGAATCCAGGCTGGTGAAGGCTTAGGGGGCCGGCCTCTTTGTCCCCTACGCTATTCCTTCCTTACCCATGCTGGCCAGGGAGGGACGGGGGGCGGGGTTCTGGGGCAGGGAGAGGCCAGAGGTGGGGACAGCTGTCTGAGGATAGGTCATGAGCCAGACAGGCTCCGCGAGGACCCGTGAAGGGGCCCAGGCACCAGAGAGCCACACAGTCCCAGAGCCCCACAGAACGCGGGTGGGTGTCCTGGAACACGGGAGAGGTCTTTCCTCAGACCCTGTGGGCACATTAGCTATCAAAGGCCACGCTCTAAAGTCGTGCTCGCCCTGCTAGGACTGAGGTCCTTCCGTGCAGGCCACCGTGTGTTCAGTGGAGGTTCCCAGGGAGCCATGGTTCATTTTCATAGTTTTTATATTTGTCAAAGCCTTTGCTCCTTTTGGTGGAGTTGATGCTAACATCCTGCTGATCATTATTAACTCCACTCTGAGACCCTTGAGGAAACTCAGGTAGAGAACAAGCTGATGCCCACAGTTCACAGTTCTGTTGAGCTTGCAGTCAACTCTGGTTAGCACTCAAGGGTTGGTCCTCACCCTGGACTTAGTCCATTTTATCTTTTTAGTTTACGTCCAGCTCAGACCATTCAGCAATGGCTGAAGTTCCCATAAATGTAACCATCTCTTGTGCCTGAGGTGATATCTTAGTCTTTCGGGCTACTATGACATATGTTCATAGGCTGGGTGACTTAAACAACAAAAATTTACTTCTCACAGTTTTGGAGTCTGGGAAGTCTAAGCTCTGGGTGCCAACATGGTCAGATTCTGGTGAGGGTTCTCTTCCTGACTCACGGATGGCCACATTCTTGCCATGTCCTCATGTGACACACACAGAGAGGGAGATAAGAAGAAGCAAGTTCTGTGGTCTCTCTGCTTATAAGGACACTAATCCTATCATGAGAGTTCCACCTAATTGACACCCAGAAGCCCCATCACCAAGTATTATCCCCCTGGGGATTAGAGTATCCACGTACAGATTTGTAGTTGGGGGGACACAAGCTTTCAGTGCATAGGAAATGGTGCAGTTGGAATAACTACACACCTAAGAAAACTGAAGTGCTGACGTCAGCTTTCTTTTAAACTTCCAGGTGGTGGGAATTCTGGTGGGATTGGGCATCATCGCCTTGGTGACGTCACCATTGTTACTTCTGGCCTCCCCGTGCATAATCTGCTGTGTCTGCAAGTCCTGTCGGGGCAAGAAGAAAAAGCACGACCCGTCTACAACCTAAGATGATCTCTGCGTGCACGTGCCACAAACGTCTGGGTTACCTGAGACAGCACAGCGCTAAAGCCCCACTTAGTGATCTTGCCTCCTTCCCCTTGCCAAACTTTGGAAGTGCCTCTGCGTCCAGACTTTGAACTTGCCTTCCAGCCTCAGCATCAGAAGAGGCTGCGTCAGTCCTGGGTGCAAGTGTTCCAGTGTCACCAGAGCTGCCACCGCCGCCCCAGGCTGTGCCCGCGGAGCACGTGGGGAGCGTTGGGGTTGCTCGGGAGGAACTAACCAACCATTTTATCATCTGGACGATCCCACTGGACTGTTCATCTTCCAGCCAAATCCAAGGAGGCTGAGCAAACGTTTCATATAATAAACGTGTTGTCGCGGTTGGCAACATTCATGCTAACTGAGAAGAAGAGTCTGCTCTGTTTGATTTGAGCACCCTGAGAAACGGGGAAACCCGCTGTAGGAGGGGAAGGCTAAGACTGCGTGTGAGAAATTCTCCCAAGAGCTACAAAGCAGGCTGCTTATCTGAGCAGCTGATAGTTGTGCCTCTGCCCGTTACTGGGTGTGCTGTTCCCAACGTTCCCACAGTGACTTGGCAGAAACACAATGGGTTTCTCTTCCTGTGATCTCAGCTTCAAGCAGTGGAGACTGCTGTGCAGAGGGAATTGGCCCTTCCCAGTGAAAGGGCTGCGGCCCAAAAACAACGCGGTCTAATTTAAGTGTCTCTCCTTTGGCAAAGGTTACTTTGCTAAGGTGGCCAGCTTGTCTGTCACAGCCAGTAGCTGTGGCCTGAGGGATTGGTTCATATGAAATAGGGGTCAAGTGGTAGAGGCTCAGAACATTCATCACAGATGACAAGGACCTTCCCTGGGCTCTTGTGTTCACACACCCAACAGACCTGGGTCTGAAAGTACACGACAGAGTCCATATGTCCACCTAGAAGCCCTGTGGCTTGCAGCCTATCTGGAATGTCTACCCACTGGGCACACATTATCTGCTCGATAGTAGAAACAAATATTTCCCTAAAAGCCATTCTCTCGTCCTAGAATTAAAATGGCTCATTATCCATCAACCTAAAGAATTTTTGCACAGTATATATGTAGATGTGGGTTGCAAGTTCATGACTTACCAAAGGGAAAAAACCAAAAAAGAGAACCCTTTTTTAACACAGTACTCAGTTCAAATCACACCATGTCTATAAAAACATGCATTGATAACCAAGAGATGGACCTATCTTCCAACCATTCAGAGCAGCTCTCTGAATAATTTAGTATTTCTCTATCTGCAGCTGTTAAGACATCTGAACACTCTCTGTGTGTACAAGGCACCAACAACACAACAACAAGATACGTAAGAAACAAAATGGGAACGCTGTTATATATATATCTGAAAGAGATTTATATCACCTCATTGTGACTTACTTTTCCCATTACACCATTAGTCAGACTTGCATAAATGGGCCTGGAAAGACAAAAACATTCTCTCCAGCGACAGGATGATATTATTGCCATCAGCAGCGCAGCCTGGTGGCTCACAAGAGCTGTCCTAAATGTTCACTGAGACCTCTCCCCAGAGCCAGGGACGCCACACTGGGAAAAATCAGGGCCCGTAAGATTTCCTGAGGTAACTAGATTATTACATTGCTGCTATCCTGGACCCCTGATTGAAGTTGATGCTTTTTCTATGTGATGGAATGTATCCTAAGTGGGGATGTATATATTTAAGGAATTTTAAGTCACACATACATATCGATAACTGATATACATAGAGCACATTCATGAGTCATGTCCTTTTTCATTAGTGTGTACTAATTATACAGAATAATGGGTTCCGTTGTATCATGTTTGCATAGGCATTAACATAGTTTGATCATTTGTCTTGTACTTTTTCATTTATAGTTTGAACTCTGGGAAAACTTTTGAATGGCATCCACCCCAAATAATTTTTAATCATTAATCAGAAATTTCTCAATAGTAAGTGACTTTGAATCTTTTAATACTTCAGGAAAAAAAAAAAACAACAACAACATGAACTCCATCAGTGTATCTCACGTTGGTATAAATATAAATGTACATATATTTGAATGGTTATTTGCTTTGTTTTACACATAGGCTACTTCCTCATTATAGGTAAAGGGCATTCGTAACTGCTCAGGGGATCATAGGAACCCAACTGAAACTGGATTTTTGTACCAAGTTATACCCAAGTTTGTACCAGTTGTGGCAATGCACACCTCTGTTAGTAACCTCTCTGAGCTTGGTTCACAGAGATTCTCCAAACAGGGGCAGATTTCAAGTAACCCGAGTGCTGTGTTCTTATGAATTTGTAGTAAAAGTAGAAGAAAATGTCTATGCTATTTCCTTGGCAAAATTAAAGGGATTTGTCTTCTCACAGACATTTTATAACAGAATTAGCTACTTTTTTTTTTTTCCTTTGCCAGGGCTAGGCGGGGGGGGCGGTGTTTGTTAAACTGATTTTAAATAAATGGATTTAATATTTTTTAACGTTGTAAAGTGCCTGAAAAAAAATGGTGACTGAAAATGCGTGTGAGTCGTCAGAATCCACAGGAACAGGTGGGGAGTTTGAACCCACATGTGTCTCTGGTGCAACCAGGGGCACAGAGCAAGCCCAGCCAGAGACCTTGTTTACACAGGAGAGAGCTGATGGCCTGGGTATGGGAGGCTGATGCTATCCTGTCCGGTAATCGGCCAGGGACAGAGTATATACAGCTTGTCCCCTTCTTCTTTCAGCTCTGTCTTACTTACCCTGGTGATTCTGTTTTAGGAAAAACGCCTGCATCTACATAAGACTGTTTGGATGTTGTGACAAAGATCTCCTTGTGTTTGGAGTAGTGCAGTCCATTTGAAATAGAATTCAAAAATCCTCCACCAAATTGCAATCTGGTGTAATAAGACACCATCCAGAAATGCCACCAGCTATTACGACACACCATCTAGCTGTTGTTGCCCCTTCTAGGAATTTTTTTTTCATGTTATTGGGTAGGGAGGAGGAGGAAAGCTGACTGAAAGCCAGTGTTAGAATCTCAGGCATCCTATTTGTTCATGCCCCAGGTATTTGCTTTGGATTTGAAATCCGTACTTTGAAAGCAGCCTTTGAAAAACAAATAATTCACAGTGTGAGTTTTCTTGGAGCCTGCATCACACAAATCTTATCTATCCAGGTCTGAAAATCTACAGTGTGTTTATTTCAATGTAAATCGCCGGGAACCCTAAGTTTTCTCTGAAAATTATTCAGAATCTAAATATGTATTTCCTTATCCTTCCCGACTCAGTGCTCCTGAATGACCTCTCTTTCTGTTCATGAATAGATGCCTTTATGTGCGTAGAATCCGTGTCTGTGTGCAGCTTTAAGGACAATTTCAGAAATGCCTTAGGTGACTGACATTTGATACCTCTAGGCTACTATATCTCCTGGCGATTCAAGACCCAGAAAGTTTGTTATGTGCTTTAAAAATTGTATTATATTTTTCCAATTCTTTGGGAGGAAAATAACTGTTTTAGTTTCTCTGACCCCAATAAATGTGAGCAGGAAATCAAGTGTGTTAACCTGTGTTGTGCTGGATGATTCTAGACGTTCAGTTTTATCCTCTGAGAACCAACCAAATCACTGTCAAACCTAGGTTCAGAATTTGCAAGAAGTACCAGAATGTGCAACCCCATCCATGGGGGTGAGTCTCGACACTTTGCTGCTTAAAAGAAAGGGAGGCCAGGTAATGGCTTCACTTGTTGCAGACTTTCTTATTCGGGGAGGGAAGGGGTGCCACACTTCCAGTGCACAGGAATTGATCATTATTTAGAAATAGAACTAACAGTATATGCCTTTAATCATTCTGATTCAAAATAAAATGCTGCCTGGTGTCAAAGTCACTGGTCTTACAAATAAATTAAGGTTGGGCTAAGGTTAAGATGAGTTCCATCCTTCCAAAAGCCTGTCAGAAGCCTGTGTTTCCCTGTTAAGAGTTTTAGAGGAAGGACTTAGCATGAGTGTGGGAGGCCCACTTCCCTGGGATCAGTATTCAGGGCAGACCTGGTCTTGGGTTGAGTGCCCGAAGCTGGGGAACAGCTAGAACTTGTGTTTCTCTCAAACTGAAAGCTCACTGTGCTGGGGTTATTGCCTTTTCATTGGATAGAAGAGTGCCCTCAAAGGGTACCTGAGCTCAAGGGTCTACCGTTGACTCATAATTCAGATTTCATTGTCATTGTTTTGGAGAAATCGATAAGATCATATAAAAAACACTCTTGGGTTATGGTTTCTTAATTTCCTTAATCATCTCCTAGAATGTCAATAGTATTTCATTTTCAAAGTGTGCTTACTGTTTGCCGAGCCTGAATTTGCATACCCAAAGAAATATTGAATGAACTATTTTATATAGCAGTGATTTTAATCAATGCCCTAACCAGCAAACTCATTTGCAACGTAAATTATGAATCTAGTGAATCTGGAGGAGAATTATAATTAGGTTTTTCTGTAATTCAATTATTTTAATTTGTTAGATAAAAAATCTTTTTTTTTCTTTAGACCCTAAAGATTATACCCAACTCTACAGCATGAGAAAGAAATGCATTTCTTCAAATAATTTGTAAATAGCAATTATAATGTTTTATTTATATATTTTTGTATAAACTATTAAAAGAATTTTTGAGAATAATCCTGTCAGATAATGAAGCAGACATTAGATCCATTGCACAGAGAAAGCGATGGTTCAGGGGTTAACGTTTTGCCAAGGGTCATACTGCTGATGGGGGGCAGCCAGAAGAGCAGAGGACCCCTAGAAAGCACTTCAGTGCCCATCACCTATCAGTAATGTCAAGCCTGTCTCCACACACAGGTCTGTGAGTTCTTAGGGAATGTACGCCCCCCTCAATTATCTGCCCCGATGGAGATATAGGTAGGAATCCTTTCTATTTCAAATCATCATTGAGAGTGTGTGTTTTGGGGTGTGTGACAGTATGCCAGGGCAGACAGGACCCCCTGGGGCTCAGCTAGGGGATGAGGATGATTCACTAGAGAAATAACAAGGCCCTGCCCGTCTGACTTCCCAATATCAGAAGCACAACAGCCGGCGAATCCGTGAACTTCAGAAGGCAACGTGCCCATCTTTCCCCAGTGGAGTGTGTTCCCACGGTGCCTTTTGATGTTTCCAATCCAGACTCAAAGCCATTGTCCACCAGGTCCAAAGCCTGTCCTAGTAACTTCTCCATCTGGACTCAAACATGTACTTGTGGCCTATCATTAAATAAATCAACGGGCTGTTTTGAAAGCTAGAGATGGGGCTCTGGATAATGAACTTGCTGGATGCATTTATGAAGTGTGTGAACAAGCTGTGCTTTGAATTCCATTTTCTGCCTTTGTGACTCTCAATTTTATCAGGATCCCATTGATTCTCTTTTGTCTTTTTCGAATGCTAAAGCCAGAATCCAGGCTTTTGATGAGGAGGAAATCAGCCTCGTATTAGACCTTTATCTTGTACTTCCTGAATGACCTGGCATGATTTGAGGTGGTGTATTTTCTCTGGGGGCTGAGTGGACAGGTGGTTAACACTGATACTATTGGACATATTCGAATAAAATGGACAGATGGATTTTCTTCCCCCATGCCCCTTCCTGGTACTGAGGATTGAACCAAGGGCCTGGTGCAGGTATCTAATTTTGGTTTTCTGGAAGTAAATTATGAGACTTTTTGACTCTGGATTAGCCAGTGCTTACATTTTGAACCCAGGCCAATTTGTTTAACTAAAAAGCAAATAAATTTAAAAATTCACACACAGCCCTGCCTTGTGTACCCGGAGTTCCAGCCTGGTCCTAGGACTTCAGCACCACAGCGGCACGTGAACAGGTGTTGGGAGAGGGCTGGCAAATCTGGCGTCACCTCAGGTACAGAACAAGGGTGCAGGGCTGTCTTCTGACCCCACTGTCCTCTGCCACTCCAGGTGGAGCAGAGATGGAAGCAGATGCCCGGACTTGCAGTGGGCTGGTTTCTGATCCAGGCCTGGCTCCGTTCTTGGCTGGGGTGTGGTCCAGTCATTTTCCATAGTGAGATTTCA